ACCTTAGATAGGAATAATAAAGCAAAGATAGCAATACTTGGCTGGTTTGACCATTACAATGAGATGGCTAATTTTTAGATAAAAATGAAAGGGCACGTGGCAAGATGGGAGAACATGTTTACAGTACAACAAGATGCATTTTACCTAGGGTCCAAAATTATTACTAAAAGTTTTGTAATTTCTTTGCACTTGTCTTAATCCTGAGTATAAGCCCATGATCAGAAGACGTTTAACCTACTCCTGGAAATGCTTTATTATGATGAAAATTTTTAGTGAGCTTAAATTTTTAAATGAGAGTAAACTCCAAAGGCTATCTCATTTGTTTTCTCTTACATCTTCACTTCAAAATCAGACATGGCAGAAAAGAGTTTCACAAAACAAAGTAAAGGCCTCTAAAATGTATATTTTGAAGGTTTACACTGAAACTATTTTCAAGCAATGGCAATGTTTTTGCAAGCAGAATGTTTCACTATCTTTTAAAACCCCTCTATTAGACAACTAATAGCATACTACAAAAAAGCAACTGCCTTATGAGTAGATATATTAATTTTACTTTTACATATAATCGAAACTTACATGTTTTTCTTCAACAAAACCCTATTTAATAAACCAGTGCTTCTTAAACACAGCAGGACTTTCGTTCAGACCTAAAAGGAAAGCAAATAACTTGATTACAATATGTTTCTTATCGGCTCTTTCACTTTACTTGAACTGAAAACTTTGATGGCTTACAAAAGAAAAACTAAAAAAACCAAATGCATCAATGAGCATTAGTGGTTGTATGGGGATAATACAATTTTTACACAGTGACTTCCTAGGTTTTCTGCATTTGTATGGGGGAATGAAAATGTTTTTAGAGAAAATCCCCCACAAACAAAACAAGCAACCCAAAATCTGGAAACAATTTAGAAAATTGCACTAATAATATATCAGGAAGAAGGGCTCATGTCAAACTTCTTATCTGGGGAAAAATATTTTTCCACTGCTATTTTTACCATGTTCCCTTAGAAGTTTTCTTTTCTTTTCTTGACACTGATAATAAATGCATAATTTAATGATTGCATGTGGATGAAGTGTTGCTAATAAACCAATTAATCACTTTGACAATTATTTTGTTTAAATTGTGTGAACTGAGTCTTTTAGTCTGAGACATTTGACGACAAAAAAGAAAAATTAAAATTAAATTTAGGTAGTTATTTCTGAATGTCATGAAGTTATTACACCACATATTATATATTTCAAACCCATAATACAGCCCTTAAACTGTTCTGATATCTTATGTTCTGCTCCAAGAGAAAACCTGCTATAGTGAAATATCTGGTTTCACAATAGACCTTGTATGGAAGAAAACTAAATATATTTTCAGTTTTTATTAAAAAAAAAAATCTTACTGTTTTGACTTTTACAGGAGGCAGAAAAAATATCTGGTTCCACATCAAATCAATCAATCAATCAATCAATCAATCAATCAATCAGTTTTGGCCTTTGGATTTTTAATATTGCAAGACAAAAATTCTATAGGTTCCAGAGAGAATTCATCAACAGTGTGTTTAACTGTACTCATAGATGTAATGGCTACTCTTACCACAAGAACTTTAAAAATTATGTGTTACCAGCACATGCTATATTTGCTTCTACTTCTTGGTCAGAAGACAAACAAATAATCCCTAACAAACAAGTTGTACCTACTTACTAACATTACTTATAAAAATTTTAATACTGTTTTTAACCACAATAATTTTTCAATGAAAAATGTCATGCCATTGGGATAAAAAAAAAGTCTTTGGAACTTGACAGACAGGATATACCAAAAGTTAAAGAATAAATGAAATTGTGCCTATATTTGTTTCATCAATTTAATGTTTTAAAATGTTAACAAAATCTAACTAATTGTTTAATATTTTCAAACAGTCCACAAATAAAATGGACTTCAATAATGAACTTGGAAAAACTTATAAGAAGAAAATCTGGTATTATTAATTTTTTGTGCTCTTTTCCTGACATTTTTGAAACTTCAGAATTTTTAATTTAAATTTTATTTTAATATTTATTAAGGGCTGCTGAGTTCTCTTTCCTCAGTGGTTTTGTTCAGTGTTTTTTTTCTTCTTATAACAGTGATTCTATAGACTAGACTTGAAAATGAGCACAGGAATATAACATGACTGCACTACTACTTGATAGCTATATCAGTGCTTGAGGCCCTCTCACAAGGCGACTGTGTCAGAGCAGGCTTGCACCCTGACAACTCATGCATTACAAAAATCTTTGCCACCCCTTGTCATGGGTTATAGCAGAGAGGCTATATATATATATATAAGTTATATATATATAAGTTTCTCTACAGAGTGAGCTCCTGATGTTTTGACATCTGCTTCTATAAACTTTAACATGCCTTTCATTCATGCTGAATACCACCAGATTTAAAAAACACTGTCCCTGGCTCTAAGCATTTAAAGGTGTCAAAGCAAGTATTTTTATCAATATATGCCCATTCATTTGTAAAAATTACACTCCTTAAAAATTTTGGCAACCAAAAAAATTAAACATTTCATAATTTATGCGACAGTAACCAAGCAAATATGGACCAGATCCCACCAATGAATAACAGACTGAACATGCTTGCATTTCTGAAACTTACAGAGGTCTGTGGAGGGACTCCTCTTCTTCCAGTGTATAACCTGTTTCTGGGATGGTAATGGCTAGAGTCTAACTCTAAAAATAGAGTTAAGAATCTGTCCTCTATTGGTATGGGTCTTCTCAAGGGCATTATTAATACCACTCATATTCCAAAATATATTTCATAACACATTGTAATTTATTTGTACACTGAATCCCCACTTGTCACTTTTCCTGTTGTGTCAAGCACCAGATTACCAATAAAAAACAATTTTTAGCGATATTTTAAAGTCCTGAATTATTGTATTCTAATATGAATATGAATACTATTTTGATTTTGTAGAGCATGCAGGCACATGAAACTGTTAAAATAAGAAATGAAAAGCTGTTAACCGCCACGCTTTTCTAACAGGAAAGTAGAGGAAATCTCAAAAAAAAATTAAAATTCCCCTCTCTCGTCCTAGTTGATGATGATATCTTTTCCTGCACGTTCACTTTAGACTACTGATAGGGCAGAGGTTTGAATTTAACGAATCAACTTCAAAATATTTGTCAACCCTGAGTATCTACTCAGAAATGACCACAGAAGTGTGAACCAATAACAGTGTTGTCTAAGAAGAGATCCTGTACTAAAACTTGCTAATTAAGGACTTGAAAAGCATTATGCTTTCCCCCCCTCTGCCTCCTACCCCCACTTATTAACTAAAGCTGTGTGAGGTGAAAAATAACTTTTTCAAATCTTTTTAGAACTAATGAACACAATTCAAGAGATTACTACTCTGTCCTCAATTCATCCAACTTCTCAACCACTGCTCCAAGGGAATCACATGGCTACTTGACCTCTGTAAGATTTTAAGAAGAAAAACAAACTTCATAAAACTTAATCACATTAGTTAAAACTGTAAGGATGTTTTAATACCCCTCCATTACCTGAAACCCACCAACATAATCCTTCCTTAGGAAGAAAGGGATGAATCAAACTGAAAAGATTTGTAATTGAGTTATCCTCAGACTCAGGGCAGTTAGAAACATTTTTTACTGGAATGTCTAGAAATAACCTTGACTGCTTCTAATTAGTCCACCAACTCAGATTATAAGAAAATGCAGGAACAATTTCACAATGTTGTAAAAATTGAAATGAGTTCGGTATTGTTTCGTGTATGTTTTAGGAAGGCATAGTGAGAGAACATAAATCGAATGTAAAACAGATACTATTTAAACGAAACACGAAATAAGTTATTTAAGGAGTATTAGGGAACTTCTGTTCCTCTTAAGTTACATATCTACTGTTTTAAATATGTTCTTTTGGCAACTTCAGACAGTATTTCGTATGTCAATAGACATAAACAAACAAACAAACAAATAAATAAATAAATAAAATGTTATAAAAAATTCCTGCTGGAAAAGCTTAAAACTATTGTTCACGAAGTTCAGTACTCTGAGCATTCTAAAAAATATATTTTCTTGTGATTTTGTTTATTGCCAGTTTTTACATAATTTTCAGTCTCCTGTATGAAAATCAAAGACAAATGCACAATTCACTGCAACAGCAAGTAAACACAGTGTTATAACCCTGTATTTTATGTTCCACTTTCTTTTTATGTTTAGAATCCAAAATTTTCCTTTGCAATTTTATTCTATTCCCTGTTTATCAGAAATGAATGCTGACTTCAGAAGATGAGGTGCTGTAGAATTAGATTTCCGTGGAGCTGTTCCTGTATCTCTTGTTATTTGAGTGTAGGTGGTTATTTTAATGTTTTTTAGTTAAGTTTTTTGTTTGTTTGTTTTCATTGCATGACTATAGTTCTAGATTATGGGAAACTCTTCAAAAAGCAGAACTTTCATATCTAAGCATTTTCTCTGCTGTTAATTTAGTGTAAAAGATGTATCTTGAGCAGAAAAAAATAATTAACTGTCACAGAAGTATGGAATAGCAAAATGTGTTGTTCCTAATTACAATGTGCATTTAAATGTGTTGAAACATACCTATTAATTCAAGTAAGAATTTTTACCCTGAGTGTAAATGAAATTTTTATAGTGGAGTTTGAACTTGAACTTAACATTCTCACACAAGCTTTTTAAAATTTATTGTAAGTTACTTAATATACAATCTTTCACAGTATGAGACATATGGGAAATATATTTCCCATATGCAAGTTGCACTCTTACCTACTTTTTCTGTGGAAACCTGTCTTGTTTTCTTCTTTCCAACGATAATGTGCTATGGCTACAGTGGAAACCAGAACAGAAAAACTGAGCTAAGTTCAGCCCCACTGGGAATAAACACTGCAGCTTTTCTTGTCAATCCAGCAAATTTCATCCTTTTTACCACAGATCTTACTGCATGAAGTGTTTGGTCAGCTATTAAGATTGTATGATCAAACTACCAGACTTTTTGTTTTAAAAATGGCATTATTTTAGGTCAAAATGTATTAATATGACATATAGATCTAAATCACACTATTGATCAAGATAAGCCTTCAAAGTTAGCAGTAGGTTAAAGACTATTACCTGTAATCCCATAGGTTGCTGCAAAAAGTTTAATACATGTTGTTTGAGAGATGGAAATGTGTTCTATTGATGCATGATAGACTTCTTCACGGGGAAAAATAACTGCATTATAGCAAATTGTCAGAACTAATTATCAATTCCAGCCCTGTGGTGCTTCTACTAGATGAGCCATCATTATTTTGTGTCATGTGGAATAACACACAAAATCGTTAAAGACCCAAATAGATGATGCAACTAAAATTATAGCATCTTTTGAAAAGTCCCATGGTTATTGTTTCAAAAGCATCATAAAGGTCTAAGAGCCGTGACTTTTTTCAGTAACACTGCAGTCTGTATGAACTTGCATATGGATACCCATATTTCACAGGGACGAGATGGTAGGCATACATTGAGACTATATGATCTATTACTCCTTTCTTTGATCTTGCTGCGGTGGAACCATACACTGAAAACTGCCTTATTCATACAGTCTCTTTTAGGCTTCACCACAGGATATCTATTTCCTATCAAAGTACACTTCCTTTATTTTGAAAATATTTGGCTGTTACAGTATCACAACAAGTACCTAATGGAGAAAAATGATAGCTTGAAAAAGTAATTTGAGAGCCAAATTTATTTAGAGGCAATTAGTTTCTACTTAGATCTAAATACCTACAGATCTACTGTGGATGTGAGACCTGCATCTCTTTTATGAAAAATACGTCCAATTTAATTAATAAACCACCAAGGATTTACTGAGATTTAACTTGCACATTTTTGTGCTAATGAAGACTTTTCACACAAGTCACACAGAAATTGGTATTGGTTTTCCTCTTGGCTCTTCTTAAAAGTACTCATCTAGGCAGCTGACAGTGGTATTTATAAAGCTACTTCAAAATTATTAGAGTGCAAGCTAGGGATCTAAAATATCTTTCAGTCAGAGAGAAAAAAAAATTTACCTTAGAGTGTTTTATACATGAGTAAACTTTTTTGCCATTTCATATTTTTACATGAAATTTGGAAGCAAATTATAAAATAAATTTTAAATAATCTGCTTAATAAAAGGAAAATCACACTAACACTAATAAGTTAGTGGGAAAACCAGTTTGATGATCTCGTTTGTAACTGGTTTTGGCTTGAACACAAACCATGTTATTGTCTGTACCATCAGTACTGTGTATGGAGTATTCTGCATCTGTATTTACCACCATATCAGAAATATGTTGTAAATCATTAAAGTAATTATCTATGACAGCTGTATGCACAGCAAGAATATGCACCATGAAAAAAAAAGAAGTACCAGCAGTCTGATGAAAAGTACTGTGGGAATTTTGGCAGATGGAATTAAATGATCCAAACCTGAAAAATACTAAGTCATGATCTCCCAGTACTGATATCTTCTTATTTCACATCTGAGTCTCGTCAACAGCTTCTTGGGACATCAGCTGCTCCCAGCTCACATGTTGTCCTTTTAGGATCATCAATATAAGAACTTGTCTGTTGTTAGAATCTTAATGTGATAGGAGCCATTCCACAGAGTTGCAAGACAAGAAGAGATTCATCAAGGTGGAGAAATTGCATCAACTGGAGAAGCATTTTTATGTTCCTGCTTTTATGTTCCTCTGCTGACAGATTACAGCAAGGTAAAAATGCCTCACTGCCCCAACACTTTACAGTTGGGTTAGCTGTGCTGTGGCATGGCATTACAGAACAAACAAGACACAAATTTATGCAAAACTTGAACACTTTGATCAGTCACTCCCATGTACCTTGCAAACCCTTCAACTTTGCTTTTTCCATGAAGGGCTACATGTTAATGACTCTGGGCTTCAAAATGGTGCAATTAAGTAAAAATAATGGACTAATATATCCACACAGAGGAGCACAAAAATGGATTAATATCTATCAAAAGACAAAAGATGCAAACATATATATACATATATATACACACAGATTCTCAAAAACACTGAACGATTAAAAGTTACGAGTTGAAAGTGTGCCAAGGCAGAGTCAAAGAAAATGTAAATGATGAATTGTAATATTTTCTTTCCTTTAATTTATTTACATAAAGTTAATATGAAGTATTGTATCTGTCTGAATGAGCAAGACATTTTACATGCATAAATACATTCTACAAAGCACAGGAAATTCTGTAAAAACCTGGCAAACTTTATAAGCTTAAATACCAAAAAGTTAAGAACATGCCATAAATTCTTGAAAAAGGAGAACTATGATCAATATTTATTACAGTTATTAAATAGTGAATACAGATTTTACTTCCCTGTGGAAATTTCACAGAATCACAGAACCATTTAGATTGGAAAATACCTTAACCATCATCAAGTCCAACCTATGACCTATCACCGTCCTGTCAACTAGACCATTGCACTAAGTCCAACACTCAGTGTTTTCTTATACATCTTCAGGGACGGTGACTCCAAGAGGACTCCAGGGACTCTACCACCTTCCTGGGCAGCCTGTTCCAATGCCTCATCACTTTCTGTGAAAAAATTCTTCCTAATATCCAGGCTTTAACTCCTCTGGTGAGGCTTAAGACTGTTCTCTTGTCCTGTCAGTGGTTGCCCAGGCGAAGAGACTGATCCCCCGCTGGCTACATCCTCCTTTCAGGGAGCTGTAGAGAGTGACGAGGTCTCCCCTGAGCCTCCTTTTCTCCAGGCTAAACACCCCCAGCTCCCTCAACTGCTCCTCATAGGACTTGTGCTCCGGATCCTTCTCCAGCTCTGTTGCCCTTCCCTGGACATGCTCCAGCACACCAACGTCCTTCCTAAACTGAGGGGCCCAGAAATGGGCACAGCACTCAAAGTGCTGCCTCACCAGTGCCAAGATCAGGGGAAGAATGAGCTCCCTGCTCCTCCTGGCCACACTATTCCTGACACAGGCCAGGATGCCATTGTCCTTCTTGGCCATCTGGGGACACTGCTGGTTCTTACTCAGGCTCAGAAGCAGGAAGAAGAGGTGATTTTAAGTATGAGAAGAGTCCAACTTCACAAAAAAGTGCACTTGCCCTAGGGTCTCTGTGGTACTTTGTGTATAGATTGGAAAATGGACAAGGAGGAAGAAAGATGTATGCCACGTGCCAGAGCTGAGTCTGATGCTACAAAATACTTCTCATGTGATGCTGAGTAAATAAGTTAAACTGCTGCTTCCAAAGTGGCTTTTAATTGTGAATTCTCATCATAGAAGAAATGGAAATTTGGATTTTGTGTTCAGAATCTAGGGATCTGCATTTAATCTCAGGAATGAACCAAAAGCTGGACTACAAACCAACTGGTATACATTACAATTTCATAACACTATAGTATAAGCCGAGTTGGATTTATCATGATCATCAAGTTCAGCTCCCTGCCCTGCATAGGACACCCCAAGAATCACACACTGGGCTTGAGAACATTGTCCAAACACTTCTTGAATTCAGACAGTGTTGATGTTGTGACTCCCCACTTCCATGGTGCGCCCGTTCCAATGCTCAATCACCCTCTGGATGAAAACCCTTTACTTGATATCAAATCTAAACCTCCCCTGAATGAGCTTCAGACAATTTCTTTGAGTCCTGTCACTGGTCACAAATAAGTCTTGTCACTGATCTCACAGCAGAGATCAGCACCTGCCCTCTGCTTCCCATCATGATCATGTTGAAGACCGCAGTAAACTTTCCCCTCAGTTTCATCTTCTCTAGGCTGAAAAGACCAAGCAACCTCAACTGGCTTCCAGAACTTCCTCAAAGCTCTTCCAGAGCTTTCAACATCTTTGTAGCCCTTCTTTAGACTCTTCATAATAGCTTAATGTCTGTTATATTATGGTGCCCAAAACCACACACAATGTTCAAGGTGAGGCTGTCCCAGTGCAGAGCAGAGTGGGACAATCCCCTCCCTTGCCCAGCTGGTGATGCTGTCCCTGATGCCCCCCAGGACACGCTTGGCCCTCCTAGCTTCCAGGTCACTGCTGACTCATGTTCAACTTGCCACTGACCAGGACCCTCATGTCCCTTTCTGTGGTGCTGCTTTCCAACATCTCATTCCTCAGACTGTCCATCAATCCACGGTTGTCCCATCCAGGGTTGCCCCATGCCAGGAGCAGAATCCAGCACTTTCCCTTGTTGAATGTGGTTGGTTATTGCCCATCCCTCTGATTTGCTGAGGTCTCTCTGCAGGGTCTCCCTGCCTTCAAGGGAGCCGACAGATCCTCCCAGTTTTTGGTCATCTGCAAACTTACTGAGTATTCCTTCAAGTTCTTTGTCCAAATTGTTTATGATGATGTTGAAGAGAACTGGGCTAAGGATGGAGCCCTATAGAGCCCCACTGGTGACAGGTCACCAGTCTGATGTCACCCTATTCACTATTGCTTTTTGTGTCTAACAAATGAGCCAGTTGCTCACCCATTATGTACCATAATTATTGAGATCTATGGCAGACATTTTGTCTGGAAGGATAGTGAGAGACAATGTCAAAAGTTTTGCTGAAGTCCAAAAAAATTATATTTACTAGCTCTCCTAAATCAGCTAGATGGGTTTCATTGTCATAAAAGGAAATCAGGTTGCATAAGCAGGATTTTCCTCTCATGAAGCTGTGCTGGTTGTGACCAATGACTGCATTGTCTTTCAGGTGTTTTTCAATACAACCCTGAATAATCTTCTCCTTAATTTTACCAGGCATTGAAGTGAGACTGATAGGCTTGCAGTTTCCAGTGTCCTTCTTGCCCTACTTGAAAACTGGGACAAAGTTGGCCAACTTCCAGTCAGGAGGCCGGCTTCTAGCCAGCTTCCAGTCAGCTGGGATGTCTCCAGATTCCCCAAACCCTCAAAAATAGAGGGAGGTTTTGCAACGACATTAACTAGCTCTGAGGATTCTTGGATGTATCCATCAGGTCCCATTGATTTGTGGGTGTAGCAGGATGCTCTGACTAGAATAAGATAAAACCACCTCTAACAATGTCCTATTTACAAAACTAGTGGTGAATGGAGAGAGGTGTCATTCTGCTTTGGTATTGAATAATGCTGAAACCAGCCTGCCTCTTCAATCCCAAAGTTAAACAGTTGGAGACTAAGGTGAAGATGTGGTAGACCAGATAAAGTACTCTGATAAAGGAACAAACAGGTGGCACTACTAATATTTTATCTAAAGCTGCTGAGCTGATACAACTGGCCTGGAGACATATGACTGACAGTGAATAATTTTAAACTATAACAACCTAGTTCTGCTTTTTAATGGAACAGACTTCTGACATATGAATGCTTGGAGTATGTGTGGAGATTCCTCCCCTAAGTGAGGATGACACTCAAGGTTACTTCTGGAGGCTCAGCAAAAGATGCTTGCCCATGGCTTTTGGTATAGGTGAGTAACATTAGGCTCCACTGTTACAGATGTAGTTTTCCAAGCATTTAGCTATACCTCTACCAACTGTTACCTCAACATGTTCTGCTTCCTCTTTTCAGATGCAAAATATCTTGATCTGCTGCTGGAGGATTTTCTTAATAGAAACAGGGTACGTCTCTCTGATTTTAGGATTGTTCTTAAACATGCTTTGAGTTATTTCCTCAAATAATGAAGGTTCTCTTTTCCTAATTAAATGTTTGAGCTACTGACAAACTACATTTTTTCATGTTTGATCATAGAAAATGCTAAATACTTTAAAACTTTTAAAGTATTTAGCATGAGGCCTGAATCATATGATTTTCCATTTTGATTATTTAGGTGGGCAAGCTACTATGAAATTGAAAATGAGGTCTTAGAATGATAAATATTGCTTTGACTTGTGAATGATTCAGAAAAACAACAAAAAAAGTACCTCTTTTCTGTAATCATGCATTTTTTCTACTTGACCTGAAGGCTATTAATGATTCCCTGAGGAATACAGACATAGCTCTTGCCCCAACTGTACATGGATCTTATGACATGATCTTATCACAATATTTTCTCCTTTCTGGGGGCAATGGTAAGGGAGGGCATCTGTTCTACTAATCCTGTAGAACCACAGGAGGATCTGGAAGCACAAGAGATTTCCTTTTAACTACTTTGATTGAATGAGTTAGCAAGACAAATGTACTCTAGATGTCATCCCATTTGCCTGAGCTCCCACCAAAGGTCTGCTACAACATCAACAAATGCTTGGCTGTAAATGCTAGACTGAAAGTACACAGATGTTCACAAAAAATATTCCAAGATGCTTTGCTGATACCTCAAAATCACTTACTGGGGATTAAAATGTACTAAGCGAATTCATTAGAAGTCAAGTGCACTGGCCATTACTCTGGAAGAAAAAGAGTCTTTTTATCCTGCAGCTGTAGGTCACACAGATAAATTTTTCATTTTTAATGTAGTACTTAAAATCTCATGTCTTTGATGGGATGTTATAAATGTCAGGGTTTTTTCCAACTTTTCACTCTGTATTATTGTACCCTTGCATTTGTTTAAAAAAAAAATGAAGAAAAGAAAGAAAAGAAAGAAAGGAACAAGAGTACCTCAGGAAGCGAATTCTTATTTCAGGAGTTAAACGAGGAGATGCTTATAGATGTAACCATAAGAGATAAGAAGATAATTAAAAAGTCAATACACATCATAACCCTGAACACCAAAAATGGAGATATGAGACAGATGCAGTTTATTACAGAATAAATGGCATTCAAGTATGAGACAAATCTGTGCTAAATCTCAAAATATACTATGCAATGTAATTTCTCTCCTCCTAAAATTAATAAAAACCGTGAACAAACTTTGAAAGCTTTAACTTCAGTCCTGATTTTCTTTCATTGAAATACAGAATAGTTCAAAGTCAAGCTCTACGTGAAGTGATTTACTTTGCTTTTATGAAAGGCATTATGGAAATGTCACTCTATTGTATCTTACTGTATTTAAGAATTAACTACTGTAGTACAGCCACAAGAGATGAATATATGTACTATGATCAACCCCATCAATTACTACTCACCAGCAATTAATGTAAAGTACTCTTGAGATAAGAGATTTGAAGACAAATAGTAAACATATAATTTAAAGCGGGGTTGCATTTAATCCTAGATTTTTTTCTGTCACTCTAAGATAACCTTATACTACAATATTTTCTTTATAATAATAACAGCCTTTCAATTAAATGATGCAATCACTATGCCACAAGCCATGTCTTTCTTTGGTAGGAGGAGTTAGAAGCCCCAACATTCAATTGACCTGTTTCCAAATAATCTACAGGAAAAAAATGAAGATTAAGTCCTCTAACAAGAGCAGTTTTCACAGCATAGCATACAAAGAGAAGGATTCAGTAAAAAGATGAGAGGGGAAGCCGCATTGTGCTGGCTCACTTAAATCTTATTTCCAATTCACTAAATGTGTTATTTGACTTGGCAAGTGAGTTGGCATGTGTATTAGATCAGCAGGAGGCCTAATCAAGGAGATGCCAAGTTTGCTGCAGCCCCTCTGTGCAGCATTAGCCTCAACTAGTGACCTTAAGCAAAGTGGGTGGTAGAACCCAAAAGAGAATAGCATTAACTTTTGCTTGAAGTTCAGCCTGATTTGAAGTCTCCCTTTGTGTGTTACTAAAAAAAAAAAAAAAATGCAGAAAGCATTCAACAGAACTGAATCTAGTCTGGTCAGCACCATCTTCACATGCAGGGCTTTATAGAAGTTTGCCTCCATTAATGCTGACACATGCAAAAAATGAAAATCATTAACTCAGCTAAGGCACTTGATTTTAGAGTGTTAGAACAATTCACTTTGTAACACAGTAACTTGAAATTGGGGGGTTTTGAATTTTCTTTTATTTAGTTTTTTTTAAATCCGGATTAACTGCTAATTTTTAAATTGCCATAGAAATTATTTTAAAATTTTAAACAAGTCTCAAAACCAAAAATCATACAAAAATTGTATGTAGCACTATTTTTATATCCTCATTTTTCTAGCCATTTGGTGTACACAATTTTTTTCAACATTTTCTGCATTTACAGATCCAGAGAGATTAGTGTAAGCCTATCCTTTCCAGTACGTCTGAACTAAATGATATTGAGTCCGTGTATCCTGAAAAAACCCAACATTACAAATAAGGATGTATTTTTGTCTTTAAAATACTTAAAAAAAAATTTCTGGTTTTAAATATTGTAAGAGATAAGCCTTTTAAAAAATATTTATGTTTTTCGTGACCTCTGTTTCCAATAAAATCAAAATTTATATAAACACCCCTTAAAATAATGTTTCAGAGATTCTTTTAACAGGTGTAGCTTTTCTCGGCAATGCTCTTTTAGATTGAAGATGCAGCTCAGAGAAATTACCAAAGTACATTCTGTAAATAATGTTAATGGACAACTCTTATAAATTTTCAGTGTTTTCATTGTTTTCCAAATCTTATTTTTACTTGGTTTTTAAGCTAAGTAACAGAGTTAGTTTTCTATCTGTTTCTCCATCAAGGGTCTTTCTGTATCTCTACCAGTTATTCAATTATCCTCTACTCTCCAATATTTTTATATGTGTTCTCATTTAACTCTAGAAAAAATGATTTTTTTACTGTTCCAATCCAAACAAATCAAGACAACTTCATAAATGCCCCCTTTCCAACTTCTTGTGTACAGCTCTGTCTGTATTGTGTATTGGAGCTGCATTTCGCATTTAATTTTAGTTGGCCCTGTGCATATCCTGTTTCTTTCTCCCTTCCAGTCAGAGACCTGACATGGAGGACAGTAGCACAACATTCAGCTCTTTCTTCTGTTATTAAATTGCACAGTTTTTAGAGCGTCCTATTCCTCCATAACCACAACAAAGAAAACTGGATCTGCTGGGAAAGAATATTATGTAACATCACCTACTCAGAAATAAATAGCAGATTAAGTAGGCAGATGTAATCTATTTTTCTAACACAACTTCTTTCATCCTGTAATGAACAGTCAGGGAAAAAAAATGCATTTTTTCCCCCCCCATAATTGCAGGAATATCTTATCAGAAACAATTACTAATAAATAAAAACTATACTTCAAACAAACTATTTCTATTCAAAGGTCAGAAAATTTCACAAATTTCCACTTGCCTCAGATGCTATATGAACTATGTAAAGGTATATTCATTACAGTTTCCAGCCTTGTTCCTTTTGGGCCAGGTCATTGAGTTTGACATGGTAATCAAGTCCTCCTCTTGTCCCCACCCTGTCTGCAACAAGGAGTTCCTGTTATAGTCCACCATTAATATAGTTAATGTCTTAGTCCTCCATCGACTGTAGGGGACAGTCTGCTTCATCATGGTTCTCACCGTGGACTGCAAGGACAGCTTGGCTTCCCCTGCTCCAGGGTGGGGCCCACCCATGGAGGCAGCCC